ATTTATAGTGAATTTTTCATTCCAAACAGCCAATATGAAATTCGAAAAATCTTAACGGCAATTATACACCTCCAATCGACACAAGGCCAACGCCATTGTGTTCGTAACAATCCTAAGTTCCTAAATCCACAGCAACTAATCACTTATATTCAGTTCTTGCTCGATTCGCACGAATCGACAAGTTTCACATAAAATAATGAATATAAATACACAACGAACAATTCGAACACGTATAATAATTCAACGAACATGCTAGGCACAACCGATCATAATATTATTCACGTAATATTAAACAAGGAGTCGAGACTCGATACCATTCTCGGGTACACATTCCAAAAACGGTACGAAGAGGCGAGTGGCAATCGATTCGACGACGGAGCTTCGTCTCGCGGGGCCCAAGTGGCGGCCTGACTGCTCGCGGCTAGGGCTTGGAGGGGAGCAGTGAACGGAGGGCCTCGACTGGGGACCTGCTGTTCACGGCTGCGAGAGGAGAAGGAGGGCTCGCGATGGTGCTGCGTCGCTCGGTTGGAGGAGCTGCAGACGGCGGAGAACGGCTCGTCGGAGGAGCTGCGGTGCTCGGAGGTGAGAGCCTGCTCGCGTGACGAGACTCGCGGACAGGGGAGACTCGCGGAGGAGAGCTCGCTCCTGGGGTCGCCGGAGGAGCAACGGCGCTCGGACAGTGAAAACTCAGCGTTCTGCTTGCCGTCGCCGGCGACCGGTGGCTGATATAGGCGCGACGGCGACGGGATAGACGAACGGGATTTGCTGCTCGATGAATGAAGTCGGCGGCTGAGGAGAAATTTGGGTCTGCTCGTCAGAAATCCGCTCAAATCGCCATCTGGTTGCTCTCAGTCGGAGTTGCTTCAGGTCGCCGACGGTTTGCTGTGCTCGCGACGACTTTGACAGGTGATGGTTCTGCTTCTCCGGCCATAGTGACGAGCGTGATGGAGGGGATGATTCGATCGAGTTCAAACCTGAGATTTTCTCTCTTCTTCCTTCTATTGCGCGACGGAAAACGAGAGGAAGAGGGAGAATGAGAAGGTTGCGGGCGTGCTTGATAGAGAGAGAGATTAGGGTACAGATCAATTGACTCAGTTTTATTTTTGCTCATTAAGACACACCAAAAATATTTGGGTCGGTCCGAGTTAGTGGGCCGAGAATATAAGAGCTTTTAAAAACTGTTGGGCCGGTTTTTAGCAAAATGTCTGAACCGGTATTGGGTCATTGGGCCAATTCGCGACATTAAATCGGCTCACGGGCTCGGTTTCGGTTCACTCGGGTATTTTCGGGCTCAAATCCGGTTTAAACGCACGATAAAAAAAATAAACCGAACAATATATATATTTTACATATATATATTAATACACATTTTTCACATTTAATAATTTAATAAATCACGAAAGTCAATTAGACAATTAGAGATTTTGCATTTAATCACATTTTGGCAATAAATAATATTATGGCATTCAAGAAAAATAAATATAAATATTATCACAAAAATAATAATAACAATAAAAATAAAAATAATATTCTCAAATAATCCACAATTAAATGGGGCATTACACAAGCTTCGACCTACGTCCTTTCTGATTTTTCTATCGTCAATCCGGACTACCAGGTGGGTTACTTATTCTAAAATACCTGTGCAATGTGTGTTTAAATATGTTTTTTGATTTGGTGTGATCTATGTATGAACGTAAACATGTAGCCTATTGATGTGAGTTGTTACGGCCGTCGGTACGGTTGTCCCCGTCGATGTAATATGGTTGCCCGTTGCGAGGCAAGTTTCCTTAAGACCTAAAGAAAGGCCGTGTCCTTGCGTGGCACGTATTCTCGCCGTTAGGGTAATGAATCTACTTTCCGCGACTAATGAAAGATGTGTACACAAGAGTATTTATGTTTATGTTATGTTGGAGATGAAACATATGTGATATTGTTTATGTTCATGCTGCGACCATGCCTATTTAACATATTATAAAATGTGCATTGCATAGTGTGAGCATTATCATCTTATGCTCACTTCCATCTGCTCTTAACGGATGCAGGTTAAGCAGTCGCGCGTTACGAGACAAGACGAGTGGTGGTATTGCCTGTTATTTATGCTTATTAATTTGCTTCCGCTTTTTCATGAACTTATGTTGGTTTATTTGAACATGATGGTTGTTTGGATTTTGAAAACATGTTGTTTTTGAAAACGTTGTGGATTTGGTTTATGTTGAGAAACCTATCTTGATATTTATCACGTTTATGTTTATAATTTATATGGTTGAGAATATGATTATGGTTTAAATGGTTAATGAAAACCGTTGGAAAATCGGGTAATGAATCCCCGTAGTTCAGATATGACTTAAACTGTATTTTGAAAAGAATGAGTAACGCCAAAAAGTTTATGATTCGAAAAATGAATTTCGAAAATTTTTACCTTGATCTTTTGAAAAACCATGGATTTTCTTTAAAAATCAATTGGGGCGTTACATAAAAACTATTAACAAGTGTCAAATAACTTGCCCATTACATGAGATAGACGTGAGGTCACTTAAGGTATTTGGAACATACAAACTGGTTCTAGGAACCTTTCTACACCTCCATGTTGAAACTCATTTTGTTCTGTTGATCCTCACTTTGTACGGTTGATGGTTATGCTTAGGATAAGACTGAGAGGTAACTAGAGTGATCGGCTACAGTGCTTCTTGGTTGGTCAAATTCTTGCTTCAGAAAGGGTACATTGTCAAGGCCTCTGTTCGTGATCCCGGTGAGTTCCCTTGATATTTTCTCTCTTTTTTTTTGTGTTTTCGCTTTGTTTTTCTAACAATCAATCATGGTAATAAACGTCAGATTTGATGGTTTTTCTTTTTGTGACCTTTTGTTTTATGTGTGTAATTGCAAGAGATTAATGTTTTACAGTCGGCTTTGCATTTCATCGCATGTCAAGAATTATTGTAGAAATTGAGATATAAATGGATGAAATTTTGTCGTCATGATCTATGGTGTGTGTGTTTCTGTCTAGTTTTGCTGAGAGAGGGGATGTAAATGGAGTTTTACTATTGAGAATTAGTTGAAAATAGAAACCTATAGATCATCTTTGTCCTACTGGTAGTCATATATAAATATAGACCTTAGCTTTTTTGATTTCCCAAGTTAACTGTTATTAATTTGAAAATCTCTTAATAATTATATCTGTCCTGGCAGAATGAATGCAGATGTTATTGCTTCTCATTTTAGTGTTTTGAGTTACTATTAATTAGATATCTTAATTAACAAATCTACATTATTACAGCATAAAGAGCAGGTTCATGCATTTAGCTAACTATTTTGTGATCTATAAGTTGATTGTGCTGCTATTAGATTGTCTAGTAATGCCTATTTGAGGTTATAAGAGAAAAAGGATTATTTTTTTTCCTATTAATAAAGAACTATAATGAGAGGTTTATATAGAGAGGTTTATTTTGAACGTATACGAGAAAAAGATTATTTTGGACTAAATCTATATTTGCTTGATAACTTGAGATTTATAAATAATTAAATGTTACAAGATTTAGTTTATGTAACTTGTTAGGGGTTCATGCTTTAATTTCCTAATAGAAAATACTTTAAGATCCTTGAGATGACCCTCTTGATAGGGTTTTAATGGTTGATCCCAAAAATGTGATATGTAGGATATTTAGGTAGTTACTTTGATATGCATACTTTGAGATAAAGGTGAGATAAAGTTGCATATGCAGTTAGTTTGTTTTTTTTTTTTTTTTTCCGAAACGATAGATTTTATACCTCAAAAAATAAATGTACAACCCGGGTTAAAAAGCCCGATACAAGGTCCCGAGGGACAGAAACATGCACCCGAAGTGCAATAAACCTACTAAAGTAGAAGGGATAAAGTACAACTCCCGACTTTTGGGAAAACCGGCGAGTTGCTTCTCTATACCTAGCTTCCAAAACAACAGGCAAAAAGCGATGACCACTGTCCTACTCGGCCTAGCCAAAGCTACTCCACAAAAGAACACAAAAGGAACAAAGCTAACGAAGCTAACTCAAGCTACTAGAAATAAAACAAAAAACAAAGGAACACCAGCAGATCAGAAAAACAAACTAACAAACAGCAATGCAAAACCGACCACACACCCAAACCAAAAGAAGCTTCAGCCCCGCATCCTCTTAACACTGAGTTACTTCAACAGACACCACGAGCTCATAGCCCCTCGGAACAGCAGGTCTCAGCAAAAGATCAGTACAGCAGAATCAGACAAACAGATGCGCCACCCACCAATAGAAATCAGAAATCCACAAACAAGCTTCCAGTAGCAGAAGATCAGTCATGGTTGAGAGAGTGAACTGGTGTATTCTGACCAGTTAAGGAGAGCAGTTTGCACAATGAATAGTTCTGGCTTTTTGATTTTCTGAAAAGTCCAAAGGTTTCTAGCCTTCCAGATTTCCAGAGTATATAAGCTGTGAGCTGAAGCCTAGCATTGGACAGAGCTGAGTGCCCAAGTGTGGAAATATGAGTCCAACAGGTTTTAAAGGATGACGTATCTTGATTTTGGAAATCCCATGACAATGGTGACAGCTTCCAAATTGATCTGGCACGGGAGCAGTTGAGAAGAATGTGCTCAACAGTCTCTACTCCATCCCCACAACCTCTGCAAGTGATGTCAATATCAATTCTTCTTTTCCAAAGGTTAGCAGCTACTGGGAGAGTTTCAGTGGCACATTTCCAAAGGAAATGTTTTATCTTGCCTTGAATCTTGAGGGACCAGCTCTTTTTCCTCATACCAACTGTGACTTTGTTGTTTGAATTGCTTTCTGCAAGATCCAGGGAGGACCATTTGCCTTCCATTAGGCTTGAGTACACTTGAGAGACAGTGAGAGGGTTGTTTGAGGGTGAACCCTCCCAAATCAGCTTATCAACACCATGGGGATCAAGTCCACTAATCTTAAGAATTGCATTCACTTCTGAAGGAGAGAAATGAAAGTTGAGTGTGTTGATGTCATAGTGTCTACCTGTCTCATCCAAGAGTTCCTGCACCCATTTCAGACCTCTTTGAGTTTTCCTGCTGACATGATTAATGAGTTTTGGGATAGAGGGAATCCAAGGTTGCTTCCAAATATCTATCTTTCTGCCATTCTTAATGTCATATCTGAGGCCACCATGCTTTGAGCTCAAAAGCAGAGAGTCTCTTACCTGGAGCCAACTGTTCCAAAGCCATGAGTTACCTTGCTTGTTGGTAATGTTGAAGAAGTTATCTCTATGGAAGTATCTCGCCTTCAAGACTTTACTGACAAGTAGATTGGGCTTAGTAAGGATCCTCCAAATTTGTTTAGTGATGAGGGCCTGATTCACGAGGTTGATGTCCTTGAAGTCTAGTCCACCTTTGTCTTTTGGAACTGTGATTGATTTCCATGATTTCCAATGAATGCTCTGTTTGCTTTGGTCATCATTACTCCACCAGAACTCAGCAATAGCTTTGTCAATGTTTGCTTTGGTGGCTTTAGGAATGAAGAAGCATGACATTGTATAAATGGGCAGAGCACTCTTCCCTGCAGCAGACAGAAACTTTGTTTTCCAGTTCATAATCCTACTTATAACAGATTTTTCCACATAAGCAAAAGTGTCAATTTTAGACTTTCCCAACCCTAGAGGTAGCCCAAGGTATTTAGAGGAGGAATGAACAGGAATGCCATGCAGAGTATTACAGATTTGAGACTGAATATGGTGGGGGGTATTTTTATTGAAGAAAATAGAGGACTTGGAGAGATTGACAGATTGGCCTGTGAAATTTTGGTATTTATTGAGAATTTCTAGCAAGAGGAGGGCTTGTTCAGTGGTGGCTTGGGAAAAGAGTAGTGTGTCATCAACAAAGAGAATGTGGGTGAGATTGGGGCTATGTCTACTGATTTTGAGACCTTTCCAGTTGCCCATATCATCTTCTTTTTTAATCAAGCTGGAGAAGATTTCAGAGATTAAAATGAAAATGTAGGGAGACAGTGGGTCTCCCTTCCTAATACCTCTTTTAGCTTGAACAAACCTAGAGGGAGAGCCATTAATATTAAGATAAAAACAGGTGGAGGATAAACAAGACATAATCCAGTTAATGAAATGAGAATCAAAACCCAGCCTACAAAGAATTTGGCTGATACAGGGCCATTCTACCCTGTCAAAAGCTTTGGACTTGTCCAATTTAATAGCCATGTAAAAAGTATTGCCAGATCTATGCCTTTTGAGAAAATTCAAATATTCATGGGCAATAATAACATTATCTAGAATATATCTATCTGGAATAAAAGCTGATTGGCTATCACTAATACAAAGAGAAAGCCAATTTTTGAGCCTATTGGCAAGAATTTTAGAAATAGTTTTATAGAAAACACTACAGAGACTAATAGGTCTGTAGTGAGAGACAAAAATAGGATTTTGGATTTTGGGAATTAGAGTAATAAGAGTATGGTTAAGGCTTTTAAGAATTCTGCCTGATTCAAAAAAACTAGAGACAGAGGAGCAAAAGTCAAGCTTGATAATATCCCAGAAACATTGGAAGAAAGAAGAGGACATACCATACCATCAAGGCCAGGGGCTTTATTGCTATCAATGCTGAGGAGGGAATCCTTGATTTCTGATTCATCCACCATGATTAACATCTCATTATTCATCTTAGTTGTGATGACTGGTTGGATATTTGTGAGGAGTTGCTGCCCACCTGAGGAGCCCTCAGAAGTGAAAAGCTTGGTGTAAAATTCTTCAATACACTCAATTATCTCCTCAGTAGTGGTACAGTGAGTACCATCTTCCTTGAGCAGCTTAGAAATGTTATTAATTTTCCTCCTCTGAGCAGTCTGGGCATGGAAGTACTTGAAATTTTTATCACCATGTTGTAGCCATGAGATTCTGGATTTTTGCCTCCAGAATTGTTCTTCCAATTGGTTCTCAGAGTTCAGCTCTCTTTTGTTATCTTCCCAAAGTTGCCAATCTCTGTCCTCACCTACTAGTCTTTGCTGCTCAAGTGAAGAGTGAAGTTGATCCTGCTTTTTCTTCCTGTCTGAGTTCAAATCTTTGCTCCATTTTAGGACTTCAACCCTAGTATTCTTGATTTTGGATTGCAGGTTGAACATGGGAGTGCCATTGTTGGAATTAGACCAGGCTGAATCAACTACCTCTTGGATACCAGGTGTTGAGACCCATCTCTGGTCAAAGATGAATCTTTTCTTTGAGGGAGTTTGTGCAGAATGAGGTTTCAAGAGAAGCAAGTTGTGATCAGATGATGATCTGAAGACATTGAGTGCATTAGCAGATAAATAATGGGCAGCCCAGCTGATAGATGCAAAAACCCTGTCCAACCTTTCTTCAACATAACCCTCTGCTGACTTGCAGTTTTCCCAAGTATATTGGGGGCCCGGAAGTCCCAAGTCTTGCCCTCCCAGATTATCGATGAACCCATTAAAAGGTTTGAATGAAGAGTTAGCACTGGTTCTACCACCTTTTTTATCTTCATGTCCTGTGATCTCGTTCCAATCACCCCCAACAAACCAAAAATCTCCCCAATTCTGCTTTGCTAGCAACAAAAAATCTCTCTGATCAAGTCTAGTAGCATGGTCTGTACTAGCATAAATAAAAATACCCCAGCAGGCTGCTTTCAAGTTAGGGTCCCAGAATTTCACTTGAATACAAAAGGAATTTTTAAGGATATGCAAAATAGAAATGGAAGAGTTCCAAAAAAGGAGAAGATCTCTGCTCTTACCATTTGGTTCAAAAGAAGACCAGTTATCTCCTATACCTAGGTTTCTGCAAACAGTTCTAATGAAAGAGTCTTT